CTGGGCTCCCACTCAGCCTATCTGACTCCAGATCCCATGTTCTTCACCCCCAGCTGTAGGATGGGAAGAGCTGAGCCAGTAGGATGTAGCCCATGCCTACACCCACCTGCTGTGTGGCCTCCAGCAAGTCACTCCCCGTCTCTGGGCCTGAGATTCCTTGGGAGGTCAGAACAAGGATCTTTCCAACTCTGAAATTTTGTTAGTCTCTAGACTGTATGAGGTTTGCAAAGAATTGGAAACCACTACACAACAACTCAAACAANTGAGCACCTACGATGTGCCGGAACCGGGCTATAAAGCAGGGAGATGAGAGGGCTCGCTGTCTGGGGTCCACAGCCCGGCAGGGAGGACAGGTGTTGATGAAAAAGAAGTCATTATAACTCTGATTGTTGTAGTAAAATTAGCCGCTGTAGGAAGCCCAGCAGGGGAATGGAATCTCCCGAAACAGGTCATGTTTCAGCCAGGACCAGAGTAACAGTAAAGGAGTCCGGGTGAGGAGATAGGCCAGAGAAGCATGCATGCAGCTCCTGTTTAGTGCAGGCACCCTGTGCGCCAGGCTCTGTGCTCAGCACATGGTGCACGTGACCTTGTTCCGTCCTCCACAGCCCTGGAGGCAGTTGCTATTCCTAAGCCCTGGACCCAATGAGGAAACAAGGTTCAGAGAGGTGAAGTGATTTGCCTAAAGAAACATAACTAGTAGCTGAGGGACCAGGATATGGTCGCTGGAGCCAAGAAAGAAAAAACTCTTCTGAATTAGAGTTCCAGCTCTCCTGCATCCTAGCTCTGTGGCTTTGGGTGGGCTGGTTAGCCTCCTTGAACCTCAGTTCCTACATCTGTAAAATGGGCTAATTTCACAGGTCTGGCTGGATAGTTTTCAGGCTTAGAACTGCTGCTAGCCAGGCCCGGCTTGGAGCTGGCTGAGCTCAGAGGTCAGCAGCTGTTCACGGGGCGAGTACTGACTTGGTGTGCCAGTGCTGGGGTGGGCACTGCCATGTGTTTTTCCAGAGAATGTGGCCAGGGATGCTCATAGGCCTGTCTTTCCCTCCAGGAAGGAGAAGGGACCAGAAGGGAGAGAGGGGTATTGAGAGCTTAAGGGTGCTCTCAGACAGGTGCACTGATGTGCTGGCGCGGCTGTGTCTGAGTGAGCCACAGGGCAGCCAGAAAGGGAGTGGGGGCCCATTGGGTTAGGGGGAGGTTCAGGACCTTGGTCCCCTTCTACCACAGCCCCACTGTTGTAGAGCTGAGACCAGCCTTTGAGATTGTCTCTTCTGACCTCCTCAACCTCAAGTGGGGAAACTGAGTCCCAGAGAAGCGACACGCTTTACTGAAGCCCCACAGTGACTCCGGGCAGAGTGAGGCCCAGAATCGAGCAGAGCAGGGGGGTGTTCAGGCCACCGCAGGGTCCTCTCCATGAGCAGGGCCACAGTGGCCCTTCCAGTGCTGGGTCCCCCGTGCCTAGCACATCAGAGGTGCTTGTGAAATACTTGTCGAGTGACTGAGCATGGTAGAAAAAGCCCGCAGCCTGGAAGTCAGACCTGGGCTGGAATTCTGTCTCCACCCTGGGCCAGCTCACTTCTCTGGGCGAGTTGCTTCTTCGCCTCCCTGAGCTTCCATTTCCCAAAATAAGATCACAAATCCAGGTGGTAGGTGCCCAGTCGGGTTGGAGCCCAGGTCTTCCGGACTCCAGGGCTGTTTTTTCACATGACACCCTTCTGATTCTTTTATATACCTGTTTCACTCATTCATTCATTCATTCATTCATTCATTCATTCACTCATCCACTCATTTAGAAACTATTTACTGAACACCTACTATGTCCTAGCTACTGTGCTAGGCTCCATGGATATAGCAGTGAACAAGGCGTGCGAGTCCATGCCTGCTGGGAACACATATTTTAGAAGAGGGAGACAGACAGCAAACACCCCATCAGCCAGGAAATGTATAAATACTCTATACAGGGGAGCTATAACAGAGGATGCATGGAGGCCGGGGGAAGGCTGCCTTTGCTACAGTGGTCAGGGAAGAAGATGCCATACCATGTGACACCTAAGAAGAAGCCTGCCGTGCAAAGAGCCTGAAAAACTAATTCAGT